TCTCAGCACGCTCTCACTGCAATGAAAAGAGATCGCCACAGATAAATCATCAACAAAAATGTCAGGCGACAGCTGGCCAAGAGGAATTCGCCTTAGTCTTCTGGTGAAATCCACCTCCAAATCTCTTAACCATATAGTTTTACCTGGAATGTAAGCAACCTCAACAAGTTCGGACCAAGATATTCCTCTAAATCCAACTTCCATTTACATAAATCATTTACCTCGCTATTTTACCTAAGGAATCTACTTTTTCTGAGCATACTTGGTTTATAGTCTAGTTTTGGTAGTAATTAGTCGCTACACTGTAAATCATGATTATTACTATTATTTCGATGTTAGTTTGCAGCATCCTTTCGAGAAAAATTCACTTCCATTTCTAGGGCTTCGACAATGAAAATTATCTCTATGGGATCTTTATTCATTACGAGCAATTGGGTAATTTTGAAGGCAAGCTTTTTCCTTTTATTTTTATTACAAGTTTTTTCTAATTATTTTAACAATTATTGCCTAAAATGAGACATTCGATTGCAATCATTATCTCCTCAAAGAAATTTCATTCTTATCGTGGTGTTTACTGACTCATAGCTCTGTATGACAAGACATATTGCCTCCTGCATTTTGTGGATGTCTGGAATTATCCGAATGTTGCCTTTATTTTATTTAGTCACATTAACCATAACTACTAACTCCTCTTCCCTACACCTTTTTCGAACCTTTGGGTGCTTGCTTATCTGTCCATCTTTCTTTCATTCTAAGCCGGAGCACAACGAGGAGGTGCGAAAAATTACCATGGTGCTGGAGCTATGCGAACTCCTTAGTGAATTGGCTGAACGCCGGGCATCAGCTCTGGCTGATTGCACTGCAGCCAATCCTCAGGTGGCTACGATGCAAACGACTACTCCCAACAGCATTTCGGCCGCTGCTACCCCCATTGCGGTTGTTGCTGAAATTGCGACCTCGAATGGGACAGCTGCCCAGGAGTCATCCAGTTCTATTGGTAGGTTTATTTTACTTTCAGATTTTCCAAGCATTATGGATAAATTGAATACGATTACTTGCAGACGCTGAAAATCGAAGATTTATGGAGCACCTACCTTATTGATGGTTATGCACTTTTGATCTCACCTAGTGCATTGCCAATGATTCGCTCTTTAGCATTATATGATCATACACTAGTTTATTTACATAACGAAAAGTTGTAATCATATTTGCTCCCCTTCCTGCATCAACTTCCCGCGCATATATGCATTTAGGATAAACACAAGGTAGTCAATCAAATCATGGAATTCCTCATTAAGATCGCAAAGTGAAATATAACAAGTAATTAGAATTTCACATAGCCTTGCCTTCATAAAAGCTATTCTCATCATTATAATTGGATTGACTGTAATTTTGTTTTATCAACACCCCCAGCGGGACTCGAACCATGCCAGTGTAGCGTATAATGTTGACACGTTAACCACTACTCCGCATTGCCGTGATTACTCTTAGGCCACAGGTCAGCTATGAATTTCGAGGAAGGCTGGCCATTTTCCCATATCATATTCTGTGGTGGGATTTTCGATACTATAGCAACTTCCAATGAACTAGTGTGAATACACTTAATATATACATGACCCACTGATAGTCTCGAAAATTTACTTATAAACGTAGCATATGTAACAGTCGATTGCTATAGCAAATACAACTATTCTTTATCGACAATTCCTCCACAAAATGTGATATGGGAAAAGGCCAGACTTTCTTTGAAATTGAGATCTGAACTGAGACTAAAGATCACTCAAAACAAAGTGGCGTAGTGGTTAACGTGTCGAGATTACAGGCTGCACTGTCATGTTTCGAGTCCAGCTGGGGTTATTGAGAAGACCAGTTCAGGTCCTCCAGTCTGGGTGAGAATATTTTTTGGGAAAGTGAGACCATGTGAAATTCAATGTAAATTTAAGGTCTCCTTGTATCATTGTGACAAAAATTCATCTACCAGTCTCCTTTGAATAAAATAGAGTAAATATACTTCATATATAATTGACCTATTTGTAGTCAAGTTTCTTTCATTTTAGCTTCGCTAGCAAATTAGTTTAATAGAAAGGTTTTTTGATTTCGATTTTACTATTGCCTAGCCCTGGATCGGAATTCGGCAAGGCTTTTCTTGCCATTCTTTGGAGAGTTAAAAAAAGGTAGATGCATGTCTTTGCCAATCATTGTTTATCAACTATTGTAGATTCTTTTATCATTTGGTTTAATGACTGCTTGGTATCTCGATCCAGCTTCAGCCTTAAATACGCATAATCGAACAACTAAATGATTATGATTTGTTTC